TTAAGAATATATACAGTACCAGTCAAAAGTTTGTACACACCTACTCATTCTAGGGTTTTTCTTTATTTGTATTATTTTCTACATTGTAGAATAATAGTGAAGACATCAAAACTATGAAATAACACATATGGAATCATGTAGTAACCAAAATAAGTGTGCAAAGCTTTCATCAAGGCAAAGGGTGGCTATTTGAAGAATCTCAAATATAAAATATATTTGATTTGTTTAACACTTTTTTGGTTACTACATGATTCCATGTGTTATTTCATAGTTTTGGTGTCTTCACTATTATTCTACAATGCAAAAATAAAGAAAAACCCTTGAATGAGTAGGTGTGTCCAAACTTTTGACTGGTAGTGTACATATATGGACGAGCGATGTCAGAGCGGCATGGACTAAGATACAGTAGAATAGTATAGAATACAGTATATACATATGAGATGAGTAATGCAAGATATGTAAACATTATTAAAGTGGCTAGTGTTCCATTTCTTAAAGGGGCCAGTGATTTCTAGTATGTATATAGGCAGCAGCCTCTAATGTGGTAGTGATGGCTGTTTTAACAGTCTGATGGCCTTGAGATAGAAGCTGTTTTTCAGTCTCTCGGTCCCAGCTTTGATGCACCTGTACTGACCTCGCCTTCTGGATGAACTCCTGAGTGGCGCAGTGGTCTAAGGCACTGCATCGCAGTGCTAACTGTGCCACTAGAGATCCTGGTTCGAATCCAGGCTCTGTCGCAGCCGGCCGCGACCGGGAGACTCATGGGCGGCGCACAATTGGGCCCAGCGTCGTCTAGGGTAGGGGAGGGAATGGCCGGCAGGGATGTAGCTCAGTTGATAGAGAATGGCGTTTGCAACGCCAGGGTTGTGGGTTCGATTCCCACGGTGGGCGAGTATAAAAAAAATATGTAATCACTAACTGTAAGTCGCTCTGGATAAGAGCGTCTGCTAAATGACTAAAATGTAAATGAAAGTGGGGTGAACAGGCAGTGGCTCGGGTGGTTAATGTACTTGATGATCTTTTTGGCCTTCCTGTGACATCGGGTGCCGTAGGTGTCCTGGAGGACGGGTAGTTTGCCCCCGGTAATGCGTTGTGCAGACCGTACCACCCTCTGGAGAGCCTTGCGGTTGCAGGCGGTGCAGTTGCCGTACCAGGCGGTGATACAGGATGCTCTCAATTGTGCATCTGTAAAAGTTTGTGAGGGTTTTAGGTGCCAAGCCAAATTTATTTAGCCTCCTGAGGTTGAAGAGGCTCTGTTGCGCATTCTTCACCACACTGTCTGTGTGGGTGGTCCATTTCAGTTTGTCAGTGATGTGTACGCCAAGGAACTTGAAGCTTTCCACCTTCTCCACTGCGGTCCCGTCGATGTGGATAGGGGGGTGCACCCTCTGCTGTTTCCTGAAGTCCACGATCATCTCCTTTGTTTTGTTGACGTTGAGTGAGAGGTTATTTTCCTGGCACCACACTCCTAGAGCCCTCAACCCCTCCCTGTAGGCTGTACCGTCATTGATGGTAATCAAGCCTACTACTGTTGTATCGTCTGCAAACTTGATGATTGAGTTAGAGGCATGCGTGGCCAAGCAGTCATGGGTGAACAGGGAGTACAGGAGTGGGCTGAGCACGCACCCTTGTGGGACCCCAGTGTTGAGGATCAGCGAAGTGGAGGTGTTTCCTACCTTCACCACCTGGGGGCGGCCCATCAGGAAGTCCAGGACCCAGTTGCACAGGGCGGGGTTCAGACCCAGGGCCTCGAGCCTAATGATGAGCTTGGAGGGTAATATGGTGTTGAATGCTGAGCTATAGCCACTGAACAGCATCCTTATATAGGCATTCCTCTTGTCCAGATGGGATAGGGCAGTGTGCAGAGGGATGGAGATTGCATCGTCTTTAGATCTATTGGGGCGGTAAGCAAATTGAAGTGGGTCTAGGGTGACAGGTAAGGTAGAGGTGATATGATCCTTGACTAGTCTCTCAAAGCACTTCATGATGACAGAGGTGAGTGCTACGGGGCGATAGTCGTTTAGTTCAGTTACCTTTGCTTACTTGGGTACAGGAACAATGGTGGCCATCTTGAGGCATGTGGGGACTGCAGACTGGGATAGGGAAAGATTGAATATGTCCGTAAACACACCAGCCAGCTGGTCTGCGCATGCTCTTAGGACGCGGCTAGTGATGCCGTCTGGGCCGGCAGCCTTGCGAGGGTTAACACGTTTAAATGTTTTACTGACTTCAGCCACGGAGAAGGAGAGCCCACAGTCCTTGGTAGTGGGCCGCGTCGTTGGCACTGTGTTATCCTCAAAAGGGGGCGAAGAAGGTGTTTAGCTTGTCTGGAAGCAAGACGTCTCGGCGACAGGGCTGGTTTTCCTTTTGTAGTCCGTGATTGTCTGTAGACCCTGCCACATACGTCTGGTGGTTGAGCCGTTGAATTGCGACTCCACTTTGTCTCTATACTGACGTTTTGCTTGTTTGATTGCCTTGCGGAGTGAATAACTACACTGTTTGTATTCTGTATATTCCTAGTCACCTTGCCATGATTAAATGTGGTGGTTCGTGCTTTCAGTTTCGCGTGAATGCTGCCATCTATCCACGGTTTCTGGTTAGGGTAGGTTTCAATAGTCACAGCGGGTACGACATCTCCTACACACTTGCAGATATACTCAGTTACGGTATCGGTGTATTCGTCTAAATTATTTATTTTCGCAAGCTACCCGGAACATATCCCAGTCCGCGTGATCAAAACAATCCTGAAGTGTGGATTCAGATTGTTCAGACGAGCGTTGAATAGTCCTTAGCACGGGTACTTCCTGTTTGAGTTTCTACCTATAGGAAGGGAGAAGCAAAATAGAGTCGTGGTCAGATTTTCCGAAAGGAGGGCGTGGGAGGGCCTTGTAAGCATTGCGGAAGTTTGAACAACAGTGGTCTAATGTTTTAGCAGCGTGGGTACTACAGTCAATATGTTGATAGAACTTTGGCAGCCTTGTCCTCAAATTCGCTTTGTTAAAATCCCCAGCTACAATAAATGCAGCCTCGGGAAATGTGGTTTCCAGTTTGCATAAAGCCCAGTGAAGTTCTTTGAGGGCCATCGTGGTATCGGCATGAGGGGGCATATAAACGGCCGTGGCTATACCGGAGGAAAATTTGATTGTGACGTATTCTAGGTCGGGTGAACAAAAGGACTTGAGTTCCTGTATGTTACTACGATTACACCATAAGTCGTTAATCATGAAACACACACCTCCGCCCTTCTGCTTCCCGGAGAGATATTTATTCCTATCTGTGCAATGAACTGAGAATCCCTCTGGCTGGACCGAGTATCCCGAGAGAGCCATGTTTCCGTGAAACAAAGTATGTTACAGGCCCTGATGTCTCTCTGGAAAGAAATCAACTGAACATGTTTTATTTTTTTTCTCCTTTATTTAACTAGGCAAGTCAGTTAAGAACAAATTGTTATTTACAATGACGGCCTACACCGGCCAAACCCGGACGACACTGGGCCAATTGTGCGCCGCCCTATGGGACTCCCAATCACGGCCGCTTGTGATACAGCCCGGAATCGAACCAGGGGGTCTGTAGTGACGCCTCAAACATTAGCGAGTAATATACTCGGAAGCGGTGGGTGGTGTGCGTGCCTCTTAAGTCGAACCAGCAGGCCGCCTCGAGTGCCTCTCCTCCGCCGGCTATGTTTTGGGTCGGCCTCTGGAATCAGTTCAATTGCTCTGGGGAGAGCGAACAAAGGATCTGCTTCGGGGAAGTCGTATTCCTGGTCATAATGCTGGTAGTTCTGGTGCGTTACTGCCGCTCTGATTTCCAATAGTTCTTCACGGCTGTATGTAATGACACAAAATATTTCCTGAGCTAAAAATATACAAAAATAATACATAAAAAACAAAATAGCGCAAAGTTTCCTAAGAGCTAGTCGCGAGGCTGCCATCTCTGTTGATGCCATCAAACACATGGCTATATAAGATCTCACAGTTGACAGTGCATGTCAGAGCAAAAACCAAGCCATGAGGTAGAAGGAATTGTCCGTAGAGCACCGAGACAGGATTGTGTTGAAGAACAGATCTGGGGAAGGGTACCAGAACATTTCTGCAGCATTGAAGGTCCCCAAGAACACAGTGGCCTCCATCATTCTTAAATGGAAGAAGTTTGGAACCACCAAGACTCTTCCTAGAGCTGGCCACCCGGCCAAACTGAGCAATTGGGGGAGAAGGGCCTAGGTCAGGGAGGTGACCAAGAACCCGATGGTCACTCTGACAGATCTCCAGAGTTCCTCTGTGGAGATGGGAGAACGTTCCAAAAGGACAACCATCTCTGCAGCACTCCACCAATCAGGCCTTTATGGTAGAGTGGCCAGACGGAAGCCACTCCTCAGTAAAAGGCACATGACAGCCTGCTTGGAGTTTGCCAAAAGGCACCTAAATGACTCTCAGACCATGAGAAACAAGATTCTCTGAATGTCCTTGAGTGGCCCAGCCAGAGCCCGGACTTGAACCCGATCTAAACATTTCCAGAGAGACCTGAAAATAGCTGTGCAGCGATGCTCCCCATCCAACCTGACAGAGCTTGAGGGGATCTGCAGAGAAGAATGGGAGAAACTCCCCAAATACAGATGTGCCAAGCTTGTAGCGTCATACCCAAGAAGACTCAAGGCTGTAAACGCTGCCAAAGGTGCTTCAACAAAGTACTGAGTAAAGGGTCTGAATACTTAGGTAAATGTGATATTTCCGTTTTAATTTGTTATAAATGTGCAAAAATGTCTACAAACCTGTTTTTGCTTTGTCATTATGGGGTATTGTGTATAGATTGATGAGTGAAAAAAACGATTTCATCCATTTTAGAATAAGGCTGTAACGTAACAAAATGTGGAAAAAGTCAAGGGTTCTGAATACTTTCCGAATGCACTGTACATGCCATTCCACGGACAGAATTTTAAGAGGCTATCGGCAGTTGTTTGAACCGAAACACATGGGCTTAAACCTAAAAAAGCTGAAGTGACCCGTCGAGGCTTTGTGTGTAATGTTGACTAAACTCACATCTGTGGCGTAGAGTATATCCACGATCCTCTGCAGCGTGGGGTCACCCTCTCCTTCCTTCTCTTGGCAGATGAGCTCAATGTTCCTCAGTTTGCCAAAATAAAAGTCCCTCTCCTTCTCCATGTCCTGGATGGTGGACTTCAGTATATTCACCTAGGGGGAGGGAGATGGGCAACAGATGATGCAGTCTGTATATCTCTGAACTTTGGCTAGAATTTCAGTCAAACCAGTTGTTATTATTTCTAACACGACAGGGCACATCAATTTATGAATGGAAGGATGACAGTACCTCCTGAATGAGTTCTGCCCGCTCCTCGTCACCTCCGCCAGCCCCTGGTCTCCGCGCCAAGCTGGGCGCTATTTTGGGTGCTACCTTGGCAACTGCTGCCCGTTGGGGTGCTGAGGGGAACAAGCAACCAATCAGAAAAGAGATGGGGAGAGGTTGTTATTAAGAAGCTCAGTAGGTTTCAGTATGGAAAGACAAGTCACCTCTAGACTGCTTACAGAAGCCATTTCTTGCTGCAAGTCAGTGTTTCTCCTACACTATTTCCATTCTACCCTCAAACTAAAACAATTTTGATTTTGTTGCTTTCAATTGACAATTTTAGCTCAAGAGGTCTCAAGATGTTGATTTTGGGGCCTTTGTGCCCCGCCTAGAACATTATGTAGGGGAACCACTCCTAAAAAGTACAGTGAAAATATATATAAAAACCATTGCACAGGCTCAGCCACCACTCTCACCAGCGTTGAGGACCTTCTTGGGCTTGTTGAGGGCCGACATGGCGGGGCTGGACATGGGCATTGTGTCTTGGCCCTGGCGAGCATCCACAGGGTCATACTCTTTCCCATCATAGTTGGCATCAAAGAACTTCTTGAACCACTGCACAAACTCAAAGTTGTCCTGGAACTTGCTTTTTATCAACTTGTCAACAGGGATGATCTTGGGAAGAACAAAGCACGAGGTACGTGGATTCAACACCAAATTTTTTTATTAAATATGGTGGATGTGCACATCATACACAGTTGATTTAGACTAAACATGCATCACAGAGGTAGTGACTACCGTTATAAATGCTGTCGGAATGTGGATATAACACACAGAGACTAGGAGACAAGGACCGTCCATTTCTAAGGGACTTTGTCATGATACTGGACTGGAGAAAATCCAAACTCTCGCTCTGAAGTTTTTTGCTCTCTGTCTCTCACACACACACACACACACACACACACACACACACAGGAGAGCACTTCACTGTGCAGTAGCCGAAGTCAACAAATACGCCATCCAACTACTGGATGAGAACTAATGACTAACAGAGTGGAGACTGTATAGGATGCCAACAGTTCTCTCTGCGGGCACAGGAAGGTCAATATCAGTGAGCCACTGTAGAGAGAGGTCATGCTAGCTCAGCAGTAAACACAATTAGCAAGCAGTGGCAGAGAAGTATACAGCAGCTGACATCATTGGTACACACACACTATGGGCAACTCTGATATGTGTAAATCCAAATGAGAAGCTAAAGATTAGGATATTAGGATTAGAGAACATGCTGTTGTTGAATTGTTTTCATGTTACAAGCCAACACATGGTAAAGACAGGAAGCAAAAGGATAAATATGCTTCAAAAGCAACCAGTTCAAAAAATATAATCAGCCCGGCAAATAGAGCTCTGGATGTACACTCTAGAGCCTAGGACATGCTGGGAGGGAAAATAGAATAGCCTACTTACTTTGTCGACACCCATTCTTTTGAAGCCAGCTTGCAAAATCTTGTAGTTGTGAATGAATTCGTGCTCTAGTTTTGCAGCAAATTTGACTTTCTTCAAAGGCACACAGCCGGGGAAGAGCATGTCCATGAACTGGCAGTAGGCCGCACCTTGAGAAGACAGGCACACCAGGGGTCAACACAAATGCTATTGAACTATTCCTCTTTGATCACATATATATTGACACTAAAGCAAAGTAGGCTACACCTTTAGGCCACATCAATTACAGGATTTACTTTCATTTTCCCCAACTATAAGCGATCTCTGCCTTATGATGTAATGCAAGAACAAATGCAGTTGTGCCATCCATAACCTGCCAATTACCTGAACATAACAGCTCTATCTTAGTAAGGTTGATCTGTAACGATTCGTTGATCCATGCAAGCATATCATGACGACTCAAGTTGTCACTGCACACTGAGGTTGAGTAAACGTTCACAGCCATTTTCTGTTGAAGTACAAATGAGAGAAGGTGAAATGTTGATTTCAAGTTTATGTCACGTCAGGAAAAAGCACACAGGTGATTATTTTTTATTAGGATATTTCTATGCCATATAATAATGTCAGAGGCACAACAGGTGGGGGACACACCTAGTACTGGTGAAAAATCTGTCGATGTGCCCTTGAGCAAGGCTCTTAACCCTAATTGCTCCTGCCAAATGACTAAAATGTAAATGTAAATGTACTGGTTCAGTGGATACCATTCCTGAAATGAAGGGAAATTATCATGGTCATGAGAAGATGAGTTGAAGAAAGCTGCAGCCAGTTCTGCTACGGTTCTGTTAACCAAAAACGGAATCACTGCTGAACACTGGCTAACTAGCTAACTATATCAGATAACGAATTAGCTAGTTTAGTTCAGTTGGACTAGCTTCCGTAACGTTAGGTAGTTAACATAGACGTCTTGGTGAGCGGAAATTACGAGGAGGGAAGTAAGGATTGTCTTGCAGATGTAAGTTAACGGCGTTAGCTACCTAGCTAGCCTAAGACGGTGAAGCTAATCGACAGCAGAGTCCAACGTTAGTTAGCTAGCTATAACATGAAGTCTGCTTGTAATGAAGGAGTTACTAAGTTACCTACTAACTAAGTTGTAATTTTCAACCTAGCCTACTAACCTAGCTAGCTAGCTTATCGAGCTAGATAGTTAGCAAAGACAAAGTAACGTTAGATAGCTACGTTAATATGTTATATATTAATAGTGCGCAAACTATCGGTAGCTGGCTTATACTGGATGGCTAACCAGTCGTGCTAGCTAGCTAGACCCCCGGCATAGAGAGGTGCATTCAATCCAACCCCGGGCTCAATGGCAAATATTGCTGTATAAATGACTTACCCTGTTTTGGCGTAGGTGTTGCCAGTATATTAATTCAACGTAAACCTTATCTCATATAAATACAGACGTCAACGTTTGCTGCTCCTTTCTTCCCCTGCTCGCCAGTTCAGTCCAGAAATCTGCCGGCGGAATGATTTCTTTAAGCGCAACTGCGTGCGCTTGTTCTCAGGTCAAAAGACTCCAAGACGTAAAGTCTAGACTGCAAAGTCTAGACGCATGCTGGAGCTCACTGGTGGATATGGGCAGAGATGGATAACTGGTCCAATGAGTGTCGAATTTAGTTAACAAAATATGTAATGGATTATTTGCTACGTGTGGTTTATTTAATCAAACGTACGTTTCGTAATGCTTAGTTCCGTTGTTACGAGTGTACTGATATAAGTAGGATACGTGACATCCCAGCAACTTTGAAAAAAATATCGGAGTTGTGCCTGATATCGCACTCGTATCTGCCCTCTCATTGGCTAGAATGGTCCCACCTGTTATTGCCTCCTGCCAGTGTTGCCAATTTAGCGACTTTGTCGCTATATTTAGCGAGTATTCATACCCCTCTAGCAACACATTTTTTTAAAAATCGACTAGCGTCAAATCTAGCGACTTTTTCTGGTGTTAATGGAGACTTTTGGAGACTGACGTGAAAGCACGTATCGTTCTTACTCTTCTCAACGAGCAGCGGGTGCTTGCAAAATCTTGTAGTCTAGGATGGTTATTAGCCTAGCCAGCTATAAGACTTGAGATGTGGATTGTCTCCCCTAGGCATCCCTCTCCCCTGGTATTACTAGCATGCTACAACCTAGCTAGCTAGTTTACCAACTCAACTTAGCTGCCACTGTGTGTCATCAGCTAGTTTACCAACTCCAACTAGCTGCCACTGTGTGTTGTCAGCTTGGTTTACCAAGCGACTTCCATTTGTGCTTGTTTCACATAAATAAGCCTACGTTTAAACATGATATCTCACCTGTCCAGACCTGTGGTCATAGCTAGGCTCACCAAAAATTATTTTGCGGGTGCTGTACAGCTTATTGTAGCTCTCTACCCTTACTGTGTATTGTGGTAGCTGTTGTATACGGTCTCCGGTTACTATTATATTAGTTAATATGATGAATCAGTATATTGCATAAGAAATATTTTATATTTATATTTTGTAATTTATTTTCTTCACATTCTGAGATGAGAGAACACCGCCTCACCATGATGCTGGGCATACATGGCTGCTCCTCTTGTGGAGCTGAACTAGAAGTAGAAGATGGTCATGACCTGTGCCCCGCCTGCCTAGGCATTGGCCACCTGCGTGAGGCCCTTTCTGACCCTTACATTAACTGCGCCATCCTGCCTGTGAAGGTGAGGGCTTGGTTATCACAGATAATTTACCCGTGTTCGGCGTTGTTCGCCAGGACCCACCCAGGGCCACCAAAAGAGTGAAAGCCGATGAAACCGATGGCGCCCCCCTGGTAAAAAACTCAAAAAATAAGAGCCTCACTCGGAAGGTCGATTCCTTATCCTCTGACATAGACCAGCTAAAAACCTTCAAGCCCCCTGAGACGGGGTCTTCTAGCACTCCCTCCAGCATGGGGGACGCAACAGAGGACTCAGATAGCCGTGATGATGACCTGCTCTCCACTCGGGCATCCAACCGGCACTTTAGTGACCAGGATGATGACACGCCCAACATGGTGAAGGAGGTGCCAACCAGTGTTGTGGACCATTCAGTCTCAACGCTAAAGATGGGTCAGAGGAGTCATTCCGAGGCTCTGATCACACTGAGTCAGAAAAAAACTCTGCCTCACTACGCGCTGTCCTGTGTGCGGCCTTAGCTAGGCTAGAGCTTGATGACCCTCAAGCCACAGCCCCTGCAGCTAACCCGTTCTTTAAGAAGGCCCCGACAGCTACACCGTTCAGTGTGCCACCTTCACCAACTTTTCTTACGGAGCTTCAGAGATGCTGGTCCGACCCGCGGGCTCTCGCCCACCACGGAAAGGACAGTAGGACGCTATCTGCCATGGGCTGGACCATATGCCTAAGGTGGATAAATGCATAGCAGAGCTGATGATCTCCCCAGATGAAGCTCTGAAGGATGACGCCCGCTGCCCCAGACCTCAGTGTAGGGCCACAGATGAGCTACTGTCATGGGCCTACGACACAGCGGCCCGCATGGCCCGCATTGGGAACTCCCTTTCAGTGTTCATGCTAGCACAGAACAGGATGCTCCAGCCGGAGCATGCAGACCTGGACCTCTGCAACCTGAATGACGCATCTCTTCAAGCGTTTGTGTTCATGACCAGAGAGCTAGGCAGACTGATGTCCACCCTTGTTGTGACTCGTCACCAGGTCTGGCTCGCCCAAGCCCCAATGTCCGATGACTCCAGATGGACGCTGAGAAAGCTCCCAGTGGTCCCGGACTGCTCTTCGGCCCCACGGCTGAGTGGGCCATCGAATGTAGAAAACAGCTGAGTTGGGCTACACCGCTGTGGAACCCACAGCCCAGAAACCAGGCATCACAGAGTCATGGCAGAGGGAGGCCTGACGTGCATGAACCTTGCCGCTCTCACTCGGCCCAGCCCTACACACGTCCTTGGTCCTACCACCAGCCTAACACAGGTGCTCGCCAGCTCCAGATGCCCCCCCCCCCCACCCCCAAGAGGCCGGTGCCGTGGTCAGCACTGCCCCCAACCCCACAAACAGGCGTGGGGGCAGAAACTGAATGGCGGGAGCCGGCCATCAGCCGATTTACCCAGCAGCACCTTACCTACTGGGCATCCCACTCCTCAGACCCATGGGTGGTGATGACCCTCTGACAAGGGTACAGGCTGCAGTTCTGACGCCGGCCCCCACCATTCTCAGGGATCAGAATGACTTCAGTCACAGAACCCCTGAAAGCTTGCACCCTCAACCAGGAGATTACATCTCTCCTGGAGAAGGGCACAATCACAAGAGTAAAAGCATCAGAACAGCAAGATGGCATTTACTCAACCTATTTCCTGGTTACGAAGTAAGACGGAGGCTTCCGTCCAGTTCTGGATTTTAAACGGTTCAATGTTTTCCTTAAAGTTCTCCCCTTTCAATGTTGCGGACGATCGACGTTCTCCAGACCGTAGCCGCAGGGGAATGGTTCACGTCCCTGGATTTAAAGGATGCTTACTTTCACGTTCCTGTGTTACCGGAACGCAGGCGTTTTCTGCGGTTCGCCTTCTAGGGCCAGGCATTCCAGTTTGCGGTATTACCCTTAGGTCTCTCCCTGGCACCTTGCGTCTTCACAAGATGCATGAACACAGCCCTGAGCTCCCTCCACCTACATGGAATCAAGATCTTTCCTTACCTCGACGACTGGCTCATCTGCGCCCCCTCTCACAAGTGTGCGGCCAAGAGCACAGCGCTTACACTGACCAACGTCACCGCAATGGGTCTTACCGTGAACAACGAAAAGAGCAACTTCACACCAAGCCAAAATATCACCTTTATTGGCATGGCTTTGAACTCCCGCACAATGATGGCATGTATAACACCTCAGCGTGTGGACACCATTCTTCTTCTTCTGCAACAATTCCAGTTGAATGCATTGGTGAAGGTACGAATGTTCCAACAACTGATGGGCATGCTTGCGGCGGCCTCCGAGGTGAACCGCGGTGGCACGTGCTACCACGCTGTCTCGTCACCGGCTTGACTTTGTTGTTATTATTACTCGACCTGCGCGGAGTGTGAGGGATATAATCCATACTTTCAACCATACTGACGGTCTTCCAGGTATTCGTAAAACCACAGTTACATTCTTCACTTTCGTTCCCAGTCGTTCTGATTGTGTTGTGATTGTGACATCATGTTGTACACATTTTCACATCGTGAAAAGTTTCCCAGTCACTAATTGCACGCATGTCTGTGTGGATGGCTGAGCTCGTGCAGATAATAATAATAAATAATATGCCATTTAGCAGACGCTTTTGTCCAAAGCGACTTACAGTCATGTGCGCATACATGTTTACGTATGGGTGGTCCCAGGGATGGAACCCACTACCCTGGCGTTACAAGCGCCATGCTCTACCAATTGAGCTACAGAGGACAATATGTTTCTCTCACACCCCCTCACCCTTGATTTAGCTAGCTAACTAGCATAATTA